TTTGAAGGATTCAGACAATAAAATAAAATCCAAGAGTTCTATATGAAATGACCTTTATCACAGATTTGGCAGAACAATAAAATTAAATCTAAAAGTTCTCTATTAAATAATCTTTATCACAAATTTGGTAACTGATTTGATGTTACCATGCGAGTTAAATTCATGGAAGTTGATGTAGCTTCTTGACTAGGGAAATTTGACCCAGTACCTTTTTCATCAGCACTGGATGTGCTGCGGAAGTCTCTCTTTTTTACCTGGATATTAAAATCCAGTCTCGTATATTGTTTTTTTAGAAGACGTTGTATATTGCCATATAAGATCTGTAAATTTGATACTCGCACACTGAACAATCTTAAATTTTTTCTTCTAGGTTGAAGTTAAGAGAGATGAGCTGCAGGGTGAAGTTCGCATATTTTCTGATTCTGGAAGGATTCTGCGTCCTCTTCTTGTTGTTTCAAATCTAAAGAAAATCAAAGCTTTGAAAGGGGGAGACTATGGCTTTCAATCTCTTCTGGACAATGGGATTATTGAGTTTATAGGACCTGAAGAAGAAGAAGACTGTCGAACTGCATGGGGAGTTGAGTACATCTTAAAAGCAGATAAAGAGAACCCACCTGCTAAGTATACTCATTGTGAGTTGGACATGTCATTCCTATTAGGCTTGAGCTGTGGTATTATCCCATTTGCAAACCATGATCATGCTAGGAGGGTCCTCTATCAATCTGAGAAGCACTCTCAGCAGGCAATTGGGTTTTCAACAGTGAATCCAAACAATAGAGTTGATACAAATACCCATCAATTGTATTATCCTCAGAGGCCACTTTTCCGGACAATGTTGGCAGATTCCCTTGGGAAACCAAAATGTACTCAGTACCAGAAAGGAATGCTTCCACGGCCTGAATACTTCAATGGGCAATGTGCAATTGTCGCAGTAAATGTTCACCTTGGCTATAACCAAGAAGATTCATTGGTCATGAATCGTGCTTCACTGGAGCGCGGAATGTTTCGATCTGAGCATGTTAGGAGCTATAAGGCTGAGGTCGACAATAAGGAAGCAATGGCTAAGAAGCTAAAGATTGAGGACTCTGTCAACTTTGGGAAAACCCAGAGTAAAATTGGACGAGTGGACAGCCTAGATGATGATGGTTTTCCATTCATTGGGGCAAATCTCCAGAGTGGAGATATCATAATTGGGAAATTTGCTGAATCAGGGGCTGATCACAGTGTCAAGCTGAAGCATACGGAAAGGGGCATGGTTCAGAAGGTTTTGCTCTCTGCTAATGATGAAGGGAAGAATTTTGCTGTTGTATCTCTCAGACAAGTAAGATATACATGTGTGTGTATATATATATGAAATGTTTCTACTTATATGACTGTATTTCTATGCAACTTTTGCTGTTGCATCTCTCAAACAAGTTAAAGTGCTTTAAGATGCAGGTTTATGGGAAACATTTCTTTATTAAAAAGACCATATTAAGTCTTTGGAGAACTGTTTGCAGGCAGTTTGGCAAGCTTCTTAAAGTATTTGCACTTCATGGGATACAACGTCTCCTATTCATAGATCTGAGCCCGCCATTATACAGTTGGATGCAAAATTATCTATTTTTGAAATAGGAATTATAGTAGATCTTTTAGCCCCTTACCACCCTTGAGGAAAATTTGCACTATTCAGGGGCACTGGAGTGGGTAAAACAGTACTCATTATGGAATTGATAGACAATATTCTAAAGAACTTCATAAGTTGTGAAAAATTGAAGATACAGATCAAGAAATTGAATTTCAATTGTTATGATAAAAGGAGAACAGATGCTATGTACTGTGTACATAAAGACCATATATAGCTTCACGTGCCTTGAATGGTTGAACCATCCTATTAATGAACACATTGAAAGACCAGCCACTGAACTGAAGAAAAGCTGATTTGTCTAAAAGCAGCACTACTAGACTATCCAAAAGCTTCAAAACTACAAGCCATACTACTAGACTATGTTAAGGATTCAAAACTACTAGCCATCGTAGAATGTTAGCAAGAAAGCCTACTCACATATTTGTGTTTTACTTATGGTGTAAATTGGAACATGTAAATGAGGTTGAATCAGTGCTACAGATGTCAGAATCCCTACAGGACTAGATAGGGAATACTTTTGCTGTTTTGCTTTGAAGAGTACAGTTCCTATAGCACATCCTTAATGTTACTCTTATGTATAAAATTACTTTACTTTCTTTAAAAAAATGTTAGCAAAGATAGCTGTTAGCAGTAAGCATTATGCTTCTGTGTTATGATTCAAATATACATGTGTGAAAAAGTTGGTCACCTCATATTCATCTTTATGTTTCTTCCACTATCCTTCCTCGAGAGTACCTGGAAGACACTGTATAGATAATTCTAATTCCCTTTAAATGATTCCAGTAATCTTGTACATTGTGTGCAGGTTCGTTCTCCATGTCTTGGAGACAAGTTCTCCAGCATGCATGGACAAAAGGGTGTCCTTGGATTTCTGGAATCTCAGGAAAACTTCCCTTTTACCATTCAGGGGATTGTTCCAGATATTGTAATCAATCCCCATGCATTTCCTTCAAGGCAAACCCCTGGTCAGCTGCTAGAAGCCGCTCTGGGGAAGGGCATTGCCCTAGGTGGTGGTCAAAAATATGCCACTCCCTTCTCCACTTTATCAGTTGATGCCATAATGGAGCAGCTTCAGGGGTAAGATATCTGAAAGCTGTATCGTTTTTCATAATTCCACGCCCTTGTGCCAACTAGTTAAGCTGTGTTTGTTTTGTTGTAGTCAATTGTGAATTCTGGTGATTTGTCATTGACTATTAAATGCTATATGACCTGCAGGCGAGGATTCACGAGATGGGGAAATGAGAGAGTTTACAACGGTCGGACGGGTGAAATGGTTCATTCCCTGATTTTCATGGGCCCAACATTCTACCAACGCCTCATCCATATGGCTGAAGACAAGGTGAAATTCCGTAACACTGGACCTGTCCATCCCCTTACTCGCCAACCTGTGGCAGACAGAAAACGCTTTGGTGGAATTAAGTTTGGTGAAATGGAGCGCGACTGTCTTATAGCTCATGGTGCTGCAGCAAATCTGCATGAACGCCTTTTCACACTCAGTGACTCTTCCCAGATGCACATATGTGGTAAGTGCAAGAACATGGCAAATGTAATCCAGAGAACTGTGCAAGGTGGTAAGGTAAGGGGTCCGTTTTGCCGGTTCTGTGAATCAGTCGAAGATATAGTGAAAGTTAATGTGCCATATGGTGCAAAGTTGTTGTGCCAGGAGCTCTTCAGCATGGGCATATCTCTCAAGTTTGACACTGAAATTTGCTAATTCCTGATTAAGTTTCATCTTCGAGATTATACTGATGATGCTGACATGTTGGTGATGGGAAAAAACTAATCTCTTGTATCTGTACCTTATTAGTTATCAGGTTGTGTCTAACACTATTTTCTGTAGATATCTCTAGTGTTTATGGGAAAATAACTCGACTCTTGTATTTAAACCTTGTTGGTTATCAGGTTTGAAAAGGTGTGTTTCGTTTAGACATTCTCTCTCTCGTGCATGTGCATGCGACACACACATACATGCTGAATTGTTGTTGTAGATTTAAGTTTGCTCTTTTGATGAGAAAATATTGGCATTTGATCTTTCCTTGTTAACAAGCAGTAGATGACCCTTGCTCTGTTAGGGGATTGATTTCAGTGCAAAAGGGTAAACAGCAAGTGATAGAAATAAGAAGTAACAAGTATGCTATGGTGATCACTAATGTCATACTTGTCCTAAGAAAAAAGAGGTTTACCTTTGACATATCACTTGCCTTGTTTGGTTTAAGATTAAAAATGTTTCTTGACTCTAACAAATAGATTTGATTGAATATGTACCTCTATTGAAGTAATAATTAGTTATTACCTCTAAAAGTGATAGAAGAAAGAAGTGTATGAAGTAGTACAGAATAGCCAAATGCTGATAGAGATTGAGGTACTGATGATTAGCTGAAACACTTGCTGAATTTCAGGTAAAATAATCCAAACCAACAAGAGATCCACCCATTTATCAACTTAGTTCAGCCAAGTAATCTTTGGACTGATTGATGACTCAGCTCAGTTAACTCAGCCGCTCATTGTACTAGAGCGGGGTGAGTGAAATGGAGGCTCGCATTAGGGCTACTATGTGATAAGAATGTGTAGGGTTAAAAGTAAGTTCTATAAAGCGGTGGTTAGACCTATGTATAGGGCAGTCTCCTTGCCCGTCAAGAATGCACACCTTAAGAGCATGAAGGTAGCGGAGATGAAAATGCTCGGTTGTGCAAGCAAGACATGACCATAGATAGGAAGGTTTGGAGGTCGAGGATTAGAGTAGAAGGATAGTAGGTAGGCCCGTCTGTTGTAGTACTCTTACGAGCTAGTCTCCTATTCTCTTTATTTGGTATTCACATAGTATCTTGTTCTTCATTTTTACTAGTACCCGTCACTTCAATTGCATCTTTTATCTTGCTATTTTGTTGTCGTTATTTTCCTTTTATCATTCTTTGACTGCACCTTTTTTGAGCGTCTGGTCTATTGAAAACAACTTCTCTATCCCACAAAGTTGTGGTAGAAATAAAGTTTGCGTACATTTTACTCTCCCCAGAACCCCCTGCGAGATTGCATCAGCATGTAGTTGTTTATTTTGCTGGTCTAAATTCAGTCCACCAGTTTGACATCCCTAATTTCTTTTGTAGCATATCCTTCATCTTCTCCATTTTGGAAATGTATATACTATTTAACATTCAAATGGAGAGATTCAACCTTAAGATGGAAAAGACTAATGAATAGGCTTCCTTGAGTTAAACATGTATAGAAGAGAACTAATTTACAAAGAGATAATTAAGATGTGTTCTCAAGATAATTAAGGGAAGATACATAATAATGAAATAACATAAGCTGTATGCCTAGATCTAATAGCAAAAAAAAAGAATTTCTTCTACAATAGCAGACTATATATGTTCAATTATGCAGGACAAAATGTAGTGGCATTTGGTTTTGCTAGTATGTTAAAATCCCAGAATTTCCCTTTAGAAGAAACCAAATTAGTGTCACATAAGAATTCCCAAGAAAACCACTTCTCAATCATTCTATCAACATCATGTACCAATACATGAGTCCCATTCTTGTTCTTGCTTCTTCTTGCTAGTACACCAGCAATATATATTGCAGCCATTCTTCCTGGTGATTCCGGTTTATCGCCATCTGGTCCATCAACAATCACTAAATCCCACTTCACTTCATACACTTCCTTAGGAACATTAGTGACAAGTGACATAAATTTGCACTTTCTTGATGAATTACTATACAGATCATGTTTTGAACTACTAGCAGTAGCTGATATGTAGCAGTCTTTCTGGTTTCTTCTAGCATGTTTTAAAATCTTGTATGCATCTCTAGCAACTGTTTGATACTCGACTCTGTGAATTCGAGTACTATTAGCATTACTCGTGGAGTTATAAAGTTTGATCTTCGCGGGGTTGTCCTCAAGAAAGACAGTGAATCCACCCCTATTGATTGTTGAAATTTGAGAAGAGTATTGTGTTTCAAGCCCGAAAACAAGAATATTGCAGGGGGATTTTCGCGATACAAGATCATAGAGAAAGTTGATTTCTTTCTCCGCGAGGATATTGTGGCTGTGTTCAACTAGAGACAAGGCAGAGAAAACCGGAGAGGAGTATGAAGTAATAACAGAAATCTTGACAAGTCTGAGTATGGAAGCAAATGATAAAATGAAAACAAGAAGTGGAATGATATTTCTTTTTGTAAATTTCATAGCTGTGTAGTATTTGTGTAAAAGTGTCCTTTTAAGACGAGTTTTTGGTGAGAAAAGAAGAAGAGGAAATGCAATCTCAGAAGAGGGCATTGTGTTCTTTTCTTTATGTCACTATTTTCTACCTAAAGGAAGACTTATAATAATTTGTTGTGACATGTGTTAAATTTCCTCTCTGAATTTTTTTGAGTGAAGAAGAAGTAATGGTATTTTCCTTTAGTTTGAAGCATTTGCATTTTTTCTTTTATTTTTTTTAATTTAGTTGTCACAATTTTCAACAGTATTTCTTAAGTTGAATATTTTTTGGTAACTGTTGTAAGTGATGTAGGTGTGATCAATCATTGTGAATGATGGGTACTCTTTTTTTTTTTAAAGAAGTTGGACACCAAATCTCGTCTGCTTTTGCATTTATTTGTTGGGGGTCATTAATATATATACCCCTCATAACAAATAACTTTTTCGCGGATATAAATTTACATTTTCATATAGTAATATCCCATCGCATGACTTCAATTTTTAAAGACTTGTGCCTAACTAGACATAAGTTCGATTGTTAAGGACAAAAATTAAAGATCAACGCATTTGAAGGGCAATTTTATAATAAGAAAAAACTTCCTTCTAGGTACTGTTTTTGTTATCGTTTGGTGAACATGAGTGATATTGAAGAAAAACGTATCTACTATTTTTATATAAACAAGCATCTCACATTGCATGTTGTCTCCAAATTTATTTTAAACAGAGTACAGTACCAAACACCAGTTCACTTAAGTATATCCAGCTGTCAACAATTTCAACCAAACGCTAGAAAATGATTCTAGCAAATAAAATATTTTTTTTTGCTACACCCTAGGTTCATATTCTTAACATACTTTTATTACTAATATAATTAGAGAAACATAACTTCAAAGCTGAGATGACAACGGAGAATCACAAAGTACCACAAGTCAGTATAATTATAGAACATCCACAAAGCCCCGTCGAATGTGAAGAAAAAAAGATTTCGTTGAATATGTTATGAAGTTAAGTGAGAAGTCCCTTTCTTTCCCATTACTGGACCCGGAAATCGCATAAATTGCTTAATTCAGGATTTCATGCCAACTTCGTCTTTTTGCTCAACGACATTGGAGACCGTTTTCAGGCATAGATACATGATATGTATTGATGCTTGGTGAATGAATAGAACAATGTGTTTGGCTTTAGAATTATGACACACGGAGTGTACTAATATTCCAATAACCAAACACCAAATGTTCATGCAGTAGTACCAAAATTACTTCTTGGTACTATGAGAACACCAAAATTTCAATCTGAAGACGAATAATACCATTTTGAAGTAAAACGAATGGAAGAGAAAGTGCCTAAAGATGTCATGAAATAAATAGAGGGGCGCAGGATTTCATTGTATGTTTGCTGCAACTCGGCAAGTACAAGCTCATCAACAACTAGATATCCAAAGAAGCAAGTCAGTATCTATAACGACAAGACTTGCATATTATTTGCTTCCAACTTGACATATAATGAATCGCAACAGTAGCAGCTGCATTAAAATAAGAACATCGACATCTTTCTGCTCGTTGTGAGAAAGAGGGTAAGAAAATGAAGGTGGAGATACTACCTATTCCTAGAGGACTACTCCATCCTCATTACATCTCAAAACTCATGTATAACTAAAGAGACCTATACTCATTGTACAAACTTCCAGGGTGTCATGGCAAACCACAAAGGCGGCGACTGACCTGGGCCTGAGGAGATCACACTTAAGAACTTCTTCCTTAAGACATCAATGTACAATATGAACAACTTTTACATGAAATAACTCAAGGACTTCTTCCTTCTAGATCCCCCCTCTCCATACAGTTCATTCCACTGAAGAAGCTCTGTCATATTTATGGATTCCGATGAAACACTTGCACAAACCTAAAATAAACACCAAACATATGAATTCTCAGCATTCAGATGCAGCAAAATAAAGAGTGAGATTAAAGACTTTTGTCAACTTACCCGCTCATGAGCATTTTTGAAGTCATCCATGTTCAAAGGCCGTATGTCTGCACCGCCGCATGGTGTTGGTGTAGGTTTACCTTCTGCCAAAGCTGCAGCATGTTCCTAAAATCAACTCCAAGCATGAGATTCTAGTAGTAGCGTCTATTGAGTGGGTAAGTTTTATAAATAGCAGATCAAGTGCATAGGAGTTCTACAACAACAGCATACCCAATGTGATCTACAAGTGGGGTCTAGGGAGGGTGAGGTGTACACAGACCAGCCCTACCTCATGAGAGGTAGAGAAGTAGTTCCTGATAGACCCTCGATTCAAGAAAAGTGATTCAAAAACAGGTTTCAAAAATACAAGGGTAAAAGTTATGGCAAAAATACTTGTAAAAAGGTAAGTACTGACAAGAAAAAATAGTAAAAGAAACAACAATGATAAAATAATAATACAATGAAGAGAGATATAATAATAGAACGATAATAATAATGATACTGATAATTCCAACCATACTCCCCCTCAAGAAAGAGAGAAAATCGTTCGACTACCTACTAACCATCTACCCTAATCCTCGACCTTCATGCTTTCCTATTTAGGGTCATGTCTTTGATGAACTAGAAATGTGTCATGTCATGTCTAATTACCTCTCCCAAACTCTTCCTCGGTCTAATTACCTCTCCCCAACTCTTCTTCAGTCTACCTCTACATCTACTTAGCCTTATCATTGTCAACCTCCACCTCCTCACTCAAGCATCAGTGCTCCTCCTTTCTATACGTCTAAACAATCTTAGTCTCGCTTCTCACATCTTGTCTACCACTCAGGCCACCCCAACCTTGTCCCGTATCTTTGTTTCTAATCTTATCTCTCCAAGTGTGCCCGCATATCCATCTAAGCATCCTCATCTCTGCTTCATTCATTTTCTAAATGAGTGAATTCTTGATTGGTCCCATACAACACAGCTGGTCTAACACCACTCCATAAAACTTAACCTTTTAAGTCTTGATAGAACATTCACAAAGGACGCCAAATGTGAGCATCCATTTCATCCACCTCGCTCCAATATGATGTCACATCATCATCAATCACCTTATTTTCTTGAATTATCGACCTAAGATACTTGAAGCTTCATCTAATTGGGATGGCCCATACATCAATCTTCACTTCCACAGTTGACTTGTGTGGTGCATCACTGAACTTGCACTCCATGTATTTTGTCTTAGTCGTGCTCAACCTAAAACCTTTAGACTTTCGGGTCTATCTCCAAACCTCCCATCTATCACTAACTCTGCCCCATGTCTCGTCTATCAAGCAGCACTAAGACAGATAAAAACAAGCTAAGCCCTAATCCATGGTGTAGCCCCATCTCGATTGGAAGTGTTCTGAATCCCCTCACACCAATCTCACTCGAATTTTGGCTCCACCGTACATGACCTTTAATCTCTCTGATGTATGCCACAGGTACATCTCTAGACTCCAAGCATCTCCATAAAAACTCCATATGGACTTCGTCATATGTCTTTTCTAAGTCAATGAACACCATATGTAAATCTCTTTTCCTATCCCGATACTACTCTAACAATCTCCTTTATGACATCCATATACTTGAGATGGATCTGGTTTATTTCCATCACACAACTCCTCTCCCCACCCACCCCTACCTTAACAAAACTAGAGTTTTCACTCCAAGAAACATTGGGGAAGATAAGTTTCTACAATCAAGGTGAAGATAACCAACACAATTTGGTTTTTAACTTCAAAATCTCAAGCTTGAGAAATCATATGCTTGCAAAGCACGGATGGTCGACTAGTTCCTATCTAAAAAAGCACATTCGACGAACTGTTTTTGTTTTTAGCTTTCTTCAGACTTGCAAGATCCAACAAGTTCATCTATTGGCATGGTGCCTAAGTCCCGGTTCTTTCAATTCTCTTTCTAGTATGGGTCTCCATAACGTCCAGCTTAGTCGCCTAAGTAGGCGATAATTGAGCCTCCAGAATAGTGGCTTTCTGCTGAGGGAGATAGCAGAAGGCGCTAGACATACTCTTATTTAAACCAATTCTTCAATAACAACCACATTAAACAGTGACCCAAAGATGGTAGAGTGTATGTGATGCACAAATTATGTTTCGCCACGTAATTTTAGTTTTTAATACTATTTTTTGTTCTTTTTTCTCCATACCAGCTACCACCACTAAACCACAACTCCACTCATCCTCCAAAATTCTGAACAAAACTCCAACCTTCTTAACTATGAAATAAACTTAAATTCTTAACAAAATTCCAACCACCTTCAATCCCATTTTCCAAGTAACACCATCAATTGCCACTTCTCCACCTCCCTCATGGTGTTGATTCATGCCAAAAGATTTCTTCTTCCCCCCATAGCAGATGGCCACCAGGCTACCACTGTGACAACACCCTTCACATTTCCGTATATGGGGTTGCATGTGTACTTTCAAGTGTATTGAAGGTTGTTGCAGATTGATGGTTTTAAGATGGTGGGTTCTGAGAGGGAAGTGGGTTAGAGAAACAAAAGAGAAGGCGCCGGAGAAGTATTTCTGGCAGCAAATGTTGAAAATTCAAAAAGGAAGAGCACTCTCAATCAATCAAATTCTCTAGAGGACAAGTGGAAGAAAGTATTCTTCTTCACTTCTTCCAGCTTGGCTTGAATAAAATAATTACATTACCCAAGTATTTCCAGGTATCATAATTTAACTTCAGACTTCTCCATTCCTAAACGCTAAATCCTATTAGGAAAATCTATGTGCTTGAGATGGATCTAGTTTAATTTTCCAACAATACTTCCGAAGTGACTCCTAACTTGTGCTTACAAACGCAATTAAAAATTAGGTGAAGTATTTCTGGAACTACCTAAGGGAAGCTTATTCGTTATCTTGAACTATATGCCAGTTGAAAATTCTAGAACTAATTCCACATCCTGAGATCCTCTACATTTATGTTGATGTACCTACAACCTGTTCCCTCATGATTGCGATGCTTTCACAAGTCCTCTCAAGCACGTAATAATTAAAGAAAGTAAAATTGACACATCCAAACCGCAGCACTCACAATATCTATTAAAGAAGCAATGCATATGTTCTCTAATA